AACGCGCGAATTGCAAGAGAAGAAGGCCAAGGAGATAGCCATGAAGAAGGCTGCCGTTGAAGAGTGGAAGATTGAACAAGAAAAGGCCAAGCAGGCGGCTAAAGAGGCGCAAGACAAAAAGGATAAGGAATTCCGTGAACGTCTGCGTCAGGAGTTCGGATATAGCGAGGAGGAAATCGAGAAGATGCTCAACAAGGAAAAGAAGGAAGAGCACAAGAAGCACGAGGAACACAAGAAGCACGAAGAGCACAAGACTATTACCGAGGAAACGAAAACCACATGGATCAAGGTATGATGGGTTGATCTTGTTAATGCTAGCTACTGAAACCCTGGCTAACCCTAATTTCAACTAGGTTCATCGCAAGCACCTGCTCCCCGAAACCTTGTTGGCGTACAACCTGCCTTGGGACTGGGACGAGGTAAGCAGCAGCCCTATACAAACATCTCTCACCTCTTCCAATATTAACACTCCACTACAGCGCGACACCAACTACATCATCATCAAGAAATGGGTCACCGAGGACTTCCAGGAAGAACTCTTTGCACACTCCCGCCGAATTCGCGAGGGCAAGGTCATTGCCCAGACATCCAGCTCCACGACCGAACTCAAGGTCAACGACCGCAGAAAGGACAAGATGTATCTGGTGCGAAAGAAGAGCCCCGGCCGAAAATTTATGTTCGTCTAAATCTCATCTATCACATCTTCTTTTGCCACTGGGTTGCGTCTTGTCCCGGGATGCGACTTCCATCTTTCATTGTCTTTCAAGAACCTGGTTTATGCTTCGGCTACGGTTCGTCTTTGTTTTACGCTGCCTATTTATGAGACCCAGACAAACTGCTTTTGAATCTGTTATCGTTTTCTTTTTTCTCTTTTGAGTTGGGATTCTTGAAACTGGCAGTCACTACTGTGGTACAGTAACGAGATATGAGTTGATGACCTTTTTTTGCCATTGTTCAAGTTTCTGTTGACTTTTTTTTGTGTGTCATGTCAATCGCATCCATACGCCGCTCCATTCTATTTATTCAAACATCTATCTTCCCACATATGTTTCGGGATATTCCATGCGTTGTAGAAAGCTCTCAACATTCCCATTCCCCTCCCCCCCTCCCCCCTCCCCCCCCCCCCCACGTCCGCTGAGCCAGGGACAAACAAACAAAATGCAGTTCGTAACCAAAAAGTCATGAACAAAATCCTTTCTTCACCTAAATATCAACGCCAGATGCAATATGCGCAGTTGAGAAGTATAGTAAATCGCAGGCTAGAGTTGAGACTTTGAGCTGTTAATACAAGATATCGAATAGTGATACAAAACAAATCCATAAAAAAAATTACAAGCCCATCTCATGCTTTTCCGCCCATCGCTTCTCCGCACGGAGGATAAGCTCCTCATATACGGTCCACGCAAGAGCAGAGCTAAACGCCTTCCGGGCCATGCGCAGTCCTAACCCACCGAAAAGGCTGCGCATGCCATCTTCATGGATCATGATGCGCACTGCGCGGACCATGTTTCCGTATTTGGCAGGCATGAGCTGAAGACGAGTTTTGACCGCGTCAAAGGGATTCGTGATGGCGGTCGCAATACCGGCCGCGGCTGCACCGGAGACGAAATTGATGGATGGAGAAGATGATGATGTTGCCGGTCCGTCGCTACTACTTGAGTCTTTTGCAGCCATGTTCGCAAGTCGTCGCTTAAGTTGTTCGTAAAAGAGGACGTAGAGACCGGCATAGGGGGCATCACGGGCCGCTGTGGCGCCGAAGCCTGCGAAGAGACCGCGGAATCCTTCTGTGCGTACGATATCGCGGCCGGCGCCGACGAGACTGCGGTAGGCGTAGTAGTCGGATTCGTAGCGCACTTTGAGTACAGTGACGGGCATCATGACGAAGCCAGCGGCGACTCGGGCGATGGCTCCTGTGACGAGATTGGCGGAGTTGGAGAGTTTTGGGAGGGCGGAGGAGGAATTTGTTGTTGTTGAGTTGGTTAGGACGGTGTGGGTGTTTGCTTGGGCGACTGTTTGGCGCAGGGCGTTAAGGCTGGTGAAGTATAGGGCTGAACCGAAACCCGTACGAAGGGCTGAGGGGAGAGTACCGCGCCATAATGAGCGGATGGGATGTGGAGAGGCTAGGATCGTCTTGAGGGTTGGGAGGAGGGTGGCGCCGTGTCCGGATTGCTGGACTCGCGTTTTGAGGAGATCGGCGGGCTGAAGGAGAATGGAGGATGTTAGGCCTGAGCAGAGGCCAGCAGCGAAATGAAAGACGGTCTTGGATGCTAAGGATTGAGGCTTGGGATTAGCGTGGGGGTTATTGCATGGGTATGCGCGAGGTAAGGGCATGCAGCGGGCGTACATTTGGAGGTACCGGTCTTGACCTGCGGCACCAAGGCGCTGTTATTCGACATTGCTTCAAAGCCAGCTTCCGCGGGGGGGGGCCAGCGGTTGTGAATTGGCGAGGGAAGGTATATCTGGGTTAGGGGTGACCGGGGATCGGCTTGACTGGCATCGGAGTCGGAGTTGTGACGGCGTATGAATGAGGTTTTCCGAATCACCGCACACGGCGAGGAGAATGTAGGGACCAGGGACCCTAGATGGGAGAATTGGAATTGAGATAGGCTAAGTCAAGAGCAGATGGTGCGGTATGCCGGGGGAGGACAGGAATGGCCTAGGCGGGTGGTCCAAGACCGGTGTTGAGAGTTGAGAGTTGAGAGTTGGGGGTGACCGCTGATCACCGTTGATGGGGGAAGTCAAGTTGGGTGAAGTCATCGGGTTGGCTCGACCTCGGTATCGATAAGACTACAGTACTACCCTAGTTAGGGTAGAGTACTATTGACCAACTATAATCCTTGTAATCATGATCATATTACTCCGTAAATAAATAAGTATAATCCTTGTAATAATATTATTCTGTAAATAACCATAACCATAAACATAAACATAATCAAATAATCAAACACCAGAATGTCTCAAGTACACCGCAACCGGCAAGTCGCGGAGGGCGGCTGGCGCCAATCAGCGCGCAATTGAACCAAGTGGGATGCGACGTCATGTGTCGATGACCACTTGCCCACGCCCTTCTGCCAGTGTCTTTTCTGTTTTGTCACCACCTTAAGTTCAAGGCCCTTTCAAGATGCCGTGGCCTCTACCTCATATCCCGTATCCGCGGGCGAAGCCTGGCTTCTGGAGTCCTGTTACTTCCACTTTGAACTGGTGCGAAGAGGTATGTAACATGTGGACTGCCTGCGACAGCTTGCAGCTTGCAGCTTGACCCTGCCTTCTACCGGACTCCCCCGGACCTTTGTTCTAACCCTCGATTAGGACTACTATGTCACCGTATACTCTGCCGAGATCGTCAACACTCTCACAAACCTCTTGTTTATGTGGCTAGGTGTCAAGGGCCTTCTCAGCTGTCGCCGCAATCAACATGACCAGATCTTCTCGGTCGCCCTATGGGGATATCTGGTTGTCGGCACTGGAAGCTTCCTCTTCCACTCTACCCTCAAATGTATGTCCCTTGAAAAGCCCCGAAAAGCCCCCCACGCTGCCATGCAATGTTCGCATCCCAGTTGGAGTTTGTTTTCTTCTAAGCTGCAGATCGGTATCTAACCGTTGTGTTTGCTTGCAGATCCCATGCAGCTAGTAGATGAGCTGTCTATGATCTACACGACCTGTCTGATGGCCTACGCATCTTTTTCCTACCGACGCTCCGTGGCTTTTCGCGTATCCCTCGCCGTATCCCTCACCAGTCTAGCCGTCTTCATCACCCTCTACTACCACTACCTCCAAGACCCAGTTTTCCACCAAAATGCCTACGCGCTCCTCACCTTCGTCGTTGTTTTCCGCAGCATGCATACTATGGAGACCACCCTGCGTCCGAGATGGCGCCACTCGCGCGAAGAGGATCGTCTAGAGCGCCAGAAGAAGGGCCTACCGGTCCCTTCGAAAGAGCACCAGCACTACGAGAATGTGCGCGATATGAAGACTCTCAAGACCATGTGGCTCATGGTTGGCTATGGACTTACTATGTTCCTGGGTGGATTCTTCATTTGGAACCTAGACAACCAGTTCTGTCCCCAGATCCGCCGGTGGCGCCACTTGGTGGGTTTACCGTGGGGTATATTCTTGGAGGGACATGGTTGGTGGTACGTACAGGCATCTTTTAAACTTTTCCTTCCTCATCGTCCATTTTAATTAACTCATTGTTTAGGCACATCATGACCGGTATCGGTGCATACATGTACATCGTCTGGGGTATCTGGCTGCGACATTGCCTCAACAACAAACAAGATGAATATCATCTGCGCTGGGCGCGGGTCTGGCACATCCCTGAAGTGATTCGTACCACCCCGGTATCCGAAAACGGGGTGGCTGAAGCTAAAAAGTCCACCTGAACGCAAAAGTCACGCTTGAATTATGCCGTCAGCTTTGATTTGCTGCTTTAAAAGGCTGAAATGTGATGATCCATTGGGAAGCGCATGGAATGAATCTTTCCCCTCAACCGTTTCTCGACCCTGGCTTCTATCCCTGTTTTCCCCACCATTCCTGGCTGAAGGTTGCTTGGTTTTCCCTTGAGCTTGTTTGATATCCTACGTCCTGGTGACGAAAAACTCGCTGGCCTTAGAATTAACTCGCCAGCTGCGCAGGAGGAAATGTGGCGAGTGGTGCATTGTTGCTATAGACGGGAGTAGGACTCTTGGTTCCTGGTTGCTGCTCTCTTTGATCTGACTTTGACCCGCTTCCTTGGTTATCTGTATTCACATTCCTATGATGCAAATTGAAATAGAGAGAATCAACTTTGTGTGACTGGATTTCTTTCCAAGGTTGTAATACACTCTGGTACCATCAATGTAGACCTTTCATATGTCAATTAGAATTGACCCTTCGTATTCTCTAATGCTGAGCTTGCAGTGTGATCTAAAATAAGTTCTAGATGAACAGATCCGCTTTGTATGTACAGGGTATGTCTCTTCTACTCAAGGCGTTCTTGCTCGAAGCCTCCTTCTCCTCGTTCAAAGCTTCGACTCAGGCTTAGCGGCACCGGTCTTCTTAGGGCGGCGCGCTGGCTCAGGGACGTGCTTCAGCCACTCCGCATCCACAGAAACCTTTTCGAGCTTGCTTTTCTTATTCCACTCGGACCAGAAACTCTCCTCCTCATTCTTCCAGCGACGGAGCTCAGGGGCCATCCAGGCGACAGCAGCATCAGCACACTCATTAACTGCCTCTTGGGCAAGCAAATGGCCCTTATCTTTAAGCAGGACATCACGCACGCGTCCAGCAGCAACACCGCCGCTGCCGCCGATGCCAACACCCGTATGTTCGAGCTTATCGGCCATCATCCATGGTAGACACATGTCAGACTTGCCGCCGAAGATGTAAAGCACACTCGGGCGAAGGAACGGTAGTTGCGAGAAGATGCGCACCGGCTCGGGTCGGTAGAAAGGGTACGATTGCTTGTTATCCGGGTCTAAGTCCGGGTGTGTCACTCGATTCACAGGCTTGCCGCTACCGGGGATGTGATTGTAGTTCGGTCGCGAGAAGGTAAAAACCTCATGATGGAACGGAGTGCGCAGTGTAACAGGGGGGATTGCTCTTATCGGTGACGGCCTTGTCATCAAGGGGATGGTGAAGGGTGGGCAGATCACGCAAGCCATACTTAACCCAGCGGTCGAGAACCCGGGGATCCCATGTCTGGTAGAATGGGCTGCGCTTGAAGCCCTCCTCTGCGGCCTTTCGTGACGGCCAGAGGTCCCGCCGGTAAGTGGAGAGCTGAGTGGTCTTTGCAATGATTTGCTTATTCTCCTCTAGGCTGAGTCCGTCAAGCTGAGTACTCTGTCGCTGGACTACCGGGTCAAGTAGTACCAGGGAGTGGAACAGCCGGGGGTGCATCAAGCTTAACTGGGTGCTACATATGACCATTGTCAGCATTTGGAAAATGGTTAAGACGAGGTTACAGCAGGGCCGGGTACTGACAGGTGCGCACCGCCGAAGCTGTGACCGACGCCGATGATGGGTCGTGGCATCTCAGCTCGCTTGACGTTGACCAGGTGGAGAAGGTCTCGAGGGTGGTCGAACCAGCTCGCTGTCGATAGTTGTGAGTATGCTGATCATTGATGTATGAGGATATAGTAAGTGTCAAAGGTTACATACGATCATTGCCCAGAATATGTTCATTTAGCACGCTGCTCTCGCCTTCCCAAGCCACGTCGGTCATCCAGATGCTGCGAATGCGGAATCCGGCATCTTTGGCTCTGGCGTGAATTTCCCCCTCCAGAGAGGCTCATACAGTTCCTAATCAATATTAGTGATTCGTCTTTTGCGCGCAATTGAGTTGGCCCTGCGAAGTGCGACAGACACCACCCTGTCTGATTGTTGTCATACCTTGGGGAAACCATTTGCGTGGGCGGCTAAGATGGTCACATCGCCGGGTTGCGGGTTGGGGTTGTCGAGTGGGATGTATTGTTTCACGGCCAAGTTTAAAGGTTCCTCTTGGCTGTTCGCTGTGGCAGCGGGGTATTCGCGAATATGCTGACCAGGCACGACATGCTCAACGATACGGAAAGGAAAGGGGGCCATGGTTGAGTAGTGTGGAGGAGAAATGGACATGGACACCAAGTGAGAAGAAGATGAAGTAGAACCCCGGAATATTAAACGGAGCTTACTTGCCGACGGGGACGGTTGAGCCGAGGCCCTTTTGGTAGCGTCCAATGGCACTCCACATGCTCCAACTGCCGATCCACGCCAGAGCAAAGCGTAGCGCATCGTGGTTTGATTCTGTGGAAACTGATAAAGAATGGAAAGATTAATGAAGTCTCAATATCTGTCAGATTTGGTTTCTAGTAGAAGTAGGCGACGCAAAGATCTGAAGTGAGTAGAAGTAGTAGTACTAGATACTCATTGCGCTCAGTTCGATTACGTGCCACCAAGTGATTGACAGCTCTTTCGAACCCTTGGTCCCTTTCGTCTACTTTTATTACCATATCCCTTAATTTATTCTAGGGTGTAATTATGAGATATTGGGATATTTTAACTCCCATCAGCTGTACGCCCTAAGCAAATGTTGGTGTCCACGTGACCTGGCGTCGCAGTCAACACGCGCGCCTCGCGTTTGGCCCGATCCCCTCCACTCCCCTCCACTCCAAGAGAGTTGCCTCCTCACCACAACCAGTGCGATCACGCCGGTTTGCCCCCATGGCGACGATTGAAGGATCCAAGCTCTTTGAGCAGTGCCGTATCTTCATCTTATGCTCTCCCGAAATTTCGCTTGAAACAGCCGAACAGGTATCTTCTTTCTCTCTGCTTTTTTGGCGCATCAGAGCGCGGAGGGTTTCAATACTAACCTCACTCTTCTCTCAGCTTGCAGCGGTCATCGAAGAAAACAGTGGTGAACCGTCAATCTTCGAAAGTAGTCCCGAGAAAACAGACGTCATCGAATGCACCCATATCGTTTCTAGCACTATCAACTTTCAATCTTACGATTATTTTTCCAACGCCTTGATCCCAATCGTCAAGCCGGCCTGGATCCATACATCGCTTTCGAAACGCAAGCTTGTGAACCCACGCCACTACAGCCCCGATCCTCGGCTATTCTTAAATGATGTGGTTGTAACCTGCGGTGACATCCCGGAGGGCGACAAAGATGCAATTATTGGCGCAGTGCTGGCCAAGGGTGGCTTATATAGCCCTAGGCTTACCGCCATGGTAACTCACCTGGTTGACTTGAATGCCGACTCGGATAAAGCACGCTTGGTAAAAGCCAAAGCAATGCGCACCAAAATCGTTTTACCCCACTGGTCAGTTTCGCCTCAGGGCTACATGTTAATGGAATTGTACTGACCTGAATAGGTTCGATGATTGCCTGAAACTTGGCCAGCGCATTGATGAGAAGCCATATATGCTACCAGATCCTGAGATTCTACGTGCAGGCCCCAACGACCCCATTCGATGGAACGAAAACAGGGACGTTGCAGGCGCCTCAGCCCCCGCACCGCGTGACATGCCTACCCCCACGAGCACTCCGAATCAACTCAAGGTTTTTGAGGGACAGCAGATCATGCTATCGGAAGATCTCGAGATTGGCTCCCATTTGCGACAATCCATCGAAGCAGTGCTCGAGCAGAGTGGTGCCACTGTGACAAGCAAAGTTGAGGACGCAAACTGGGTTGTCTGCAAGTTCCGAAAAGGAATTGTTTACCGACTCGCATCTCGCTTGGACAAAGTCGTCGGTAACCTTGCGTGGCTTTATTACATGATGACATTCAATACATATACTCGTCCTTTGAGTCGACCTTTGCACTATCCAGTCTCCCCCGACCCGATTCCAGGGTTTAAGGGGCTGAAGATCAGTCTTTCCAATTATGTTGGCGAGGCAAGAATCTATCTTGAGAATCTGATTGCGGCGTCAGGGGCAGAGTGTACAAAGACTCTGCGACAGGAGAATACGCACTTGATCACTGCGCACGGAACCAGCGAAAAATGCAATGCGGCCCGAGAATGGGGGCTCCAGGTTGTCAATCACTTATGGTTGGAGGATAGCTATGCGAAATGGAAAGAACAGCCAGTCTCTGACCCTCGCTACAACCACTTCCCTTTACGCACGAATCTGAGCGACATTGTTGGCCAGAAAATGCTGGACCCCGTTGTTCTTAAACAAGTTTTCTATGCCGAGGAGAGTGCTGGTCCCGCGCGGCCTATGCAGATCAAGGACCAGAACACGACACAATCACCAGGCGAGGATGAGGATAACTCATCCGAAACCACACAGGGAACACCGCAACCTGCCAAGAAAGCTTCACGTGGACCATCTGAGAAACGAGCGCTGCAAACGCCAGCGCGATCACGTCTCATTCCTGAAAATAAGGAGAATGAGACGCCTTCCTCCACCAGCAGCCGGAAGTCCAAGGATGCAGCTACAGCACGTCTACATGGGTATGCTGACGACCTTGCCCTCTACGAAAAGGAGAAGAAACGCGTTGGTGGTGTTGTCTATGGAGGTAGACGAGTGTCTGACGAGGACAGGGTTAAACTGGCGCATAACCCCAAGAAACGTCGCTCCGCAGAGCCACAAGACGAGAGCGATGACGAGGAGGTTGTAGATACAAAGCGACAAAAGAGAACTCGACCACCGATCAGCATGCACTTGATGATTACAGGTTATCAAAAGTGGATTGGAAAAGCAAATGAGAAAAAGCAAGATGCAGACAAGGTATGGAAACACTATATGACAGACTAGAATGGCCCTCTTATAAAACATGCTCACACATTGGTAGCGTCACCTTCGGGATCTCGGTATCATGCTTGTGCAAGATGCTCGCAGGTGCACACATCTTGCAGCGCCCACGATTCTGCGAACGACCAAGTTTGTGAATGCACTTGCATATGCACCAGTGATTATGAGCACAGAGTTTGTTACCAACTGTCTACAGCAGGACAAACTTCTTGACCCCGCCGACTTCCCTCTTGTGGACAAGGAAAATGAGAAGAAGTACAAGATCTCCCTTAATAAGGCGGCGAGCAATGCCAAGAAGAATAAGAACAAACTCTTGAATGGCTACCGCATCTATTGCGTTGAAGACATCCGCGGTGGCTTTGAAGCATTCAAGTCTATTGTCGATGCAAATGGAGGAGAATGCTTGCTTTTCCGCGGTCGACTTGCCCTAGCAAACAACTCTCGGCGCGAGGAGAGTGACGATGAGGAAAGTGACGTTGACGATGATGGCGATGACCGCGCACAGCATGATGTGTTTCTACTCAGTTCCACTGAGCCAAAGCATGCTCGTCTTTGGCCTCGGTTCCGTCAAGTCGCGGGTGAGATCAAAAAGACGGCCAGAATCGTCCGCGTGGACTGGCTTCTCGATATGGCCATGTCGCAGGAGTTGCGTGCGGCAGGTAACTATGAGATTACCGAGGACATGGTCGAAGATGCAGATGATTAAAGCTAAGGAGCGCCAAATCTTCCAGGATACCGACCGATTGGTGTGTTCGACCTGGCGAGGACATGTACATGTTAGATAGTATTGTTAGCCGGGATGATTGGAGCCCGGTTCTGAGCGTTTTCTTTTTGTCACGAATAGCCACGATCCGTAGGAACAAGTATTGAGAAGCTGTCTTTTAGAAGAATTTGACACCTTCTTCGCCCTCATTGCCAAAGATCTGAATCTTGCCCCTCTTGACAAGAATATTTAGAGTCTTCATCATGACATCGTTATCCATTCCATGAAAATCTGCAGGCAGTCAGTCAGCACTATTCCACGATCGAATCAAACTCGACCAGCAGTCCGGGGAATATCTCACCTTGAGATACTGTCGCTTCGCCCTGTATCAACTCATAGACCGTTAAGACAGCCCCACGCTGACCAGTGTTTTCAACCCAATCCGCAACGACATCAGCCCACTCTTCCGGTCTCCTCCACCAAATATAAGCAACAGATTTTGGAGCTGCATTGCCTCCGGTACTCGCATCTAACCATTCAGCCCGCCTTCCACCGCCGCCCTCCTCCTCGCTCTTCGTCATCCAATCCAACACATCACGGGCTGCGGCGAGATCAAGACGTTTGCGCAAGAGCGCGTTGTGGAACAGCGGGGTATCAATAGCGTCGACTAGCGAAAGACGATATTGGCGGTGATGCCGGCACCATGCTTGAATCAGCGAAGACCATTTTTCCAGCTGTGAAAGGCGGGTGTTGCTATTCGGTTGCGGGGTGAAGAAGGGTGGGAAATTATATGTTGGAGGGAAGGGGAATGATGTGGTCGTTGTCATGGTGGTGGGGTTCAGAGAGCTCCAAAGAGCTTCAAGTTGAGAAATATGAAACTGCGAAGGAATAAGAAAGAAAGATCAGATGCAATGCGCTGTGATGCAAGTGGGTGATAAGCAAAGAGCTCCAGTCGGGGCGGAGGTGGAGGAGGAGCGGAGTTGGAGTTGCTGGAGTGGGGGGGGAAAGACCCGCGCCTTAAAATATTCTACCGTCATCCCTCACCTTCACCCTCACCCTCCACCCAGCACCACAACTACCCTCAATTCCCCATAATGGCCACGCCACCTTCTAAGCGCCAAAAGCGCGAGGAATATCGCCGCAACCTCCAGAATCAATACGACGCACACCAGACCCCCAATGTCGAGGTCGCCGAGATCAAGATGCCGCAGAAGAGGTTCTTCCGGCAGCGCGCGCATGCGAATCCCTTCTCCGATCACCACCTTGACTAGTATGTGTACATCTTAAGCTTCAGTCTAGTGCTTGAGAGGGTTCCTTGAGGCAATTGTGCTTGCGCAGGGCTGCTTTCTTCAGGCCTTCCATGTACGTTGAGCTAACTTATTCGTGAAAAGCCCTATCAGTCCGGCGCATATGGATTGGTCCTCACATTACCCCGCCTTCCTGGATCCAGATACATCAAAGACAACCCTCGGAGGTGCGCGCAAGCTGTTAAAGGACGTCGAGGTGGTGGATATTGGATGTGGATTTGGCGGGTTGTTGGTTGGATTGGCACCTCTCTTGCCGGAGACATTGATGGTCGGTATGTTGATGGCCCCGAAAATTGAGGGAGCTCGAGCTCGAGCTCTTCCCGTCGGAAAACTTTGAATATGAATGAACTAATTTCCACCCAGGCATGGAAATTCGCATATCAGTCCTCGAATACGTCACATCACGCATCCACGCCCTACGCATGCAACAGCAAAAACTCAAAAACGCCGCCATTGCAGGAACCGGAGCCACATCGCAAGACTCAAATAACACCGTCGAGCAACCTGCCATCGAAGACGAAGTCGGCAACACGACGGCCGTTGTTCCAGGAAACTATGAGAATATCAGCGGCATCCGCGCGAACACGATGAAGTTCCTCCCCAACTTCTTCGACCAGCACCAGCTCTCCAAGATCTTCGTCTGCTTCCCAGACCCGCATTTCAAGGCTCGCAAGCACAAGGCGCGCATTATCTCGGAATCACTGAATGCCGAATATGCCTATGCTCTTCGGCCCGGTGGTTTGATGTACACCATCACCGATGTGGAGGAGTATCACCACTGGGTTCTCCGGCATTTTGAATACCAGTCGGAAGAAGAAAAGGACAGAGGTGGTGTCAAGGACCTCTGGGAGCGTCTTACGGATGAGGAATTGGCCGCTGATCCATGTGTGCATGTGATGAGCGTTGAGACTGAGGAGTCGAAGAAGGTCTCACGCAACAATGGCAATAAGTATGTCGCCGTGTTCCGACGTAAGGCTGATCCTGAGTGGTCTACGTGATCTGCAAAGAACCGAGCATATTTTCTTTTTAAAAAAGTTTATAATTGTCCTCTGCAAAGAAAAAAGATTCCCGGTGTATAAGCGTCTAACCGAACTCTCTATCGTATGCATTTGCAAAAAAAGAAAATCACGAACGCTAAACAATCTGGCGCTTGCTGAGACCGAAACGAACCCCAATTGAATAAAAGAAAATAAGACAAAATATCTTAAAAGTAACACAAGTATGGAAGAGAAATGGATGCGCCACGTTGCGATCATAATCCGAAAGAAAAGTCAATAAGTCATCACGCAATAAATTCATCAAAGGGCATTTCAATCGCGGGAACAGATAGATTTGGGAGCTGCAGAGAATATCTCAACACATCCCATGTGATTTCAGGCGTAAACCCTCACATCTTTCACAGATGGCGAGTTGTACTGGCCCACCAATGATGCGACCCTTGGCTGTACGCTTAGGCTCGCCTTCACGGACGAAAAAGCGGCCGTCAGCCCCAAATCCATTACCGCATTCATGGCAAGCAAAGCATTGCTCGTGCCATTGCCCGCCAATAGCAGTGATGACAACGTCGTCTAGAACGTGCTGCTTGCAGCCCAGACAACGAGGGGCCGTGCGGCGACCATGACATTTGAGACACCAGGCAAAGCCGTCCTTCTCTACGAAGGGAGTCTTCGAGTCAAAGGGCTGTAAATATCGTCAGAATACTGGTATATCAAGTGTGAAGGAAAGGAAAGATTGAACTTACATCACCACACTCGGCGCAGAAGAAGTGACCGACATGCCATTCCGCACCACAGGCAACGACCACTTCTCCCTCAATGGGCGTCTTGCAACTCTTGCAGCGCGGGCTGAAAAATTCGTGGAAATCCAGATGGCAGTAAAAGCGAGGAACAGGCGATTCGTTCGGGTTGTTCTCGAGTCTTTCTGCGCGACTAGCAAGTGGTTCCTCGTAGAAAGCAACACATTCAAGAGCAGTGTGGCAGTGGAAGCAGATAAAGCACTCCGGATGGAATCGAGATCCTCCAGCCGTCACGATCTTACCAGAGATCGAATGAGAGCATGACTCACAACTAGCCGTCGGGACACCGGATCGAGAGTATTGGGTACGCCAGCTGTTTTGGGGTTGCGATGCTTGTCTTGCGGGCGGCATCTGGCGATTGTGGCCAGCTGCAGGCTGTTGTCTCGGCCTGGTAGGCTTAGTATTATTGTGTTGAGATGGTTTGGTCATTTGCGAAATAGTGGGCTCTTGGATATCAGGCACATTGATCACTGGTATCGCGGGAGGTTGGGACACCTCAATGCTAGGCGTGACCTCAACGGTAGGGGTGACCTCGATGCTTGGAGCAACCTGGATGGTGGGGATTGGAGGTGCCGAGGGTGCTGAATCGCGAGCTACTGGGCTCTGCTGGTCACGCTTGGGCTGGTCGCTCGACTGCCACTTCGGGTCAAAGCTAACAATTGGACGGCCCATGCGATCGCTGACAGCTGAAGGCATTGGAAGATTCTCGCTTCGATCTTTCAGTCTCTTGCTCGTTGCCGCACGAATATCGTCACTACGGATTTCCTTGCCCTCTTTGGTGGGAACCTCTTCTTCGCGGGAGCTGGGAGGGGTCGGGGGTAGAGGATCGTTTTCCATATAGGTCGAATTTCGAGGCTGGGTCGGGGGTAGAGGGTCATTCTCCATATAGCTTGCATTTCGGGATTGGGTCGGCGGGTTTTTATGAATGTCAAACTGAGAGATTCTATCTCGCACCGAGCCTTGCCCAGTTTTGCGATCTCGAAGCCAGGGGAGAGGTTTGTTGACACGCGGCAGAGCATTGCGAGGCTTATTACGCAATGCAGACGAGTCAGATCTGGTGAAGTCAGGAGAAGGCTCGGCCGCTTCCTTGGCTGGGTCCACAGGCTCCTCATATATGTGGTCGTTGGGATTCTTGAATACACCCTTGGAAGAATCACCACTGACTTGTCGAGGACGTGGAATACTACTAGGTTCATCAACTATAGATGGCTCTTCTCCAGGGAGGGCAAAGTTGACCCTGCGATTCTTCTTCTGGCTCGCGCTAAGAGATGACCGTCTGCGGGCGGTTTTGTCGAGAGTAGCATCAGCCAATTCGGGACTGGAAGGGTTGCTGGAAGAGCCGCTAGATCCAACGGAGTGGCGGAACTTGTTGGTCAAGCTACTGGAGCTTCTCCGGAATTTGCTTCGAATAGAGCCCTGCGAGCCGGCATCGGGGTTCTGGTAAGGAGCATATGGATTCTTGAAGGCCTGGCCAGGGTTCTGGTGCATCCATACGAGCTCCGTGGCCTCGTCCTGGGCAGCTTGGTGAACACGGACATCATCATCTTGAACGTTCATATCCTGCAGCGCATCACGGAGGTCACGCGCTTCCTCCTTCTCATGACGGCGGTGGCCGCTCTCCCGGTATGAAGGTACGGGCGATGCGGCAACCGGTCGCGAGAAGATCTGGGATGGAAATGCGTGCTGTCTGACTGTTGCCGATTGGGGCTCCTGGGCGAGGGGGCGCCCAACTGGACCACTCTCGGTGACGTGGGAGGTCGTGCGACGATGTGACAAGGCGCTGCCGGCGCGGGGTTCCCCTTCCGGGGGACTGTTCTGTCGATACATGGAAAAGGCAGATGCTGCCCGGGGTGGGAGGTCATCTTCAAGATCAACTGTCGACGTGAGGGCTTTTCCAGGGAGGGGACGAGATCCAGTGGGACGTGCAGGTCGATTTGTTCTCAGATCTTTGAGATAGTTTGCTGTTAAAAGGTGACATTTAGCTAGGTTCCTGCGACAAGATGTCTTTCTATCTGCTTTCTTTTCATTGTAGGGAATGTCGAGGGGGAAGCGGTTGAAGCGATCGCAGGATCGCAGGAAATGAGTCACTCACCAACTTGATCGCTAGACATGTAGGAAGGACCAGGCGGGGAGACCTTGCGTTGGCCGACGGGCTTGGTATGTTTGTACATGATGGTGATGGAGCGGCTAAAAGATCCAGGTGGAATGGAATGGCGTTGAGGTCCCCAGGAAGAGAACAATCCGAACCGATCCAGCAATCCAGGGTTGGATACGACGTCAGGATCAGCCCAGGTAGAGATATGGGTATGAGCCTTAAAGAGATAAAGTTGGCCAGCATCGCTGCCCAGTGACAAGTGGAGTTGTCGCGCGATCTGCGGAGCCCAAACAACAAACACCGCCAGGGCAACCACCCGATCTGGTTAGGGCTTAGGGCTGACACGTGCAAGTATACAATATAGTGTACGTATAGTGTACAGTATATAGTATATAGTCTATAGTATCCTGGTATCAGACCATATTATTATATTAAGTTAAACTCTACCCTTATTCTCCGACTCAACATTGAACCATCACAGATCCATCTAACCCTGTCAGGTCTCACCGCCCCATCCTTCGATCCTCAGGTCTCCGCACTGGGCCCTTTCATCGACCCCACATATGGAGTTGGAGTACTCCGTACCCCCCTCCATATGACCTACCCTCGGCTCCAGAGGTACTACCGTACAGCCGACTAGAACTCAGAACAATTACCTTATATGTACAGAGCGGTTAGAACGGAACCCCCGTCATTGGTCGATTTTCGCCGACAAGCTGCCAACTGCTGCAGGTTCAAACCCCGGACATCTTCCCTGGCCATGCCAAACCTCGTAAAGACTTGTCGGCCCCATGTCCGACTAAACTCCCCAATTACGGACTAGCCATGCGCTAGTCAAAGAAATGACTCCTATCATCTGTAGCTACTACTTTTCTAGCTTCTATTTCCTCTGTAATTCCTAGTTCCATTTCAAGACTCTATGTGTCGCCGAAAACGGTACAAAAAATAAAAAAGCTTCCAGGGTTTCGCCGCATATATATAACCAACGTCAAGTTCGCCACTGGCACTCCAGTCACTACAAAGCCGCCTCTGTCAACAGAAATGAACGACAATGAACCGATAGAAGTGATTCGATCGCACCGAGACGATGGTGATTCCATCCATACTACTTCCCGACGAGGACAACAAGATCCGCAGACTCACTCGGAACTTGAACTTCCGGCTGTCGACCCAGACGAAAAATACAATCGTGACGTTCCTCCAGATGGAGGATATGGCTGGGTCTGTGTTGCCTGTGTTTTTTGGATAAATGCGCATACGTGGGGAATAAATAGCGTGGGTTTTCTCTGATATCTCCCTACTCGTAACGCTCAACTTCTAGTTGCCTTTCAAGTTCAAATTGTTCTAACCTTGAAACATAACATCTCAGAGTTACGGCGTGTTTCTCAGTTACTACCTCTCTCATGATGTCTTCCCGAATACATCGGCCCTTGCATATGCCTTCACCGGCGGCCTCAGTATCTCGTGTGCACTCCTCGTGGCCCCGTTAGCCACTCATCTCATCCATATACTCGGCACTCGCTTTGTGCTAAACCTGGGAGTATTCTTCGAAACTCTCTCTCTCATTGGCTCGTCATTCGCAACACAGAAATGGCACATCTTCCTCAGCCAGGGCGTTTGTTTCGGCTGGGGCATGGGATTCCTCTTCGTGGGCAGCGTTGGTATCTCTCCCCAATGGTTTCATAAGCGTCGTAGTGTTGCCCAGGGCATCACTGCCGCTGGGTCCGGACTCGGTGGTCTGATATACTCTCTTGCAGTGGGAGCAATTATCCCCCGTTATGGTCTAGGATGGGCCTTCCGTATCCTGGGGATCATCTCATGCGTCGTGAATCTGGTGTGTGGAAATCTGCTCCGAGACCGCAATAAGTTTGTCGGCAGCCGTTTCACAGCTTTCCATTTCCCACTTCTACGCCGGCCGGAGTTTTTACTCTTCTTGGGTGGGGTATCTTCAGCATGTTAGGCTATGTTGCGTTATTGTTCAGCCTCGCCAATTTCTCTCTATCCGTTGGCCTCACGTCACACCAGGGCAGTATTGTCTCAGCCCTACTGAACCTGGGACAAGGTCTCGGCCGGCCGTTTGTCGGCATGTTCAGTGACCGGCTTGGCCGCATCAATATCGCCACATTCCTGAGCTTTGTTTGTGGCTTATTCTGTCTAGTAATATGGACCTTTGCAGACAGCATGGGCGTTGTGTGTTTCTTTGCCGTCATCGTTGGAACAGTCTCGGGGACTTACTGGGCCACTGTCTCCCCGGTACTAGCTGAGATTATCGGTCTACGAGATCTGCCCTCTGGTCTGAGTATAACCTGGCTTACCCTCGTTGCACCTTGCACCGTATCCGAGGCTATTGCCTTGCAGCTTCGGAGCGGCACATCAGATGGCGGAACTAGTTACCTCAAGGTCCAATTATTCACGGGATTTACCTACATTGGTGCTTCTTTGTGTCTGTGGGTTGTTCGAGGCTGGAAGGTTGGGGAGCTAGAGCGTGCTCAGCAACGCCGAGAATCTATCGCCCGAGAAGCACCCCTCACCGAGGGGGAGAAGCAGGACCGTCCTGCAACAGTTGAATCTTCTGCACCGTCTGCGGATGGCGGCGAGGTCCGGATTTGGGCGCCATTTGCCCTGATACGTAGAATGATTGCACTGAAGCGAGTCTGAGGTATTGGGATGGGCATGTCAATCTAAAAGTGGCAGGTGAGAGCGATTTTAATAGGCATTCTCAAAAACTGTAAAATATTCAATGGCAACCATCCAGTAACAAAGCCGGCTGCTCTTAACGCCGATTTTTGTATCTATGAACTAGTAAATGACAAAACTCATATCTTTATTCGGTAATCAGGATCCGAACACGTCTCTTGCCAGCGCCTCGGCCCTCTTCCTTGACCGAGCTGACATTCACCTTCACCCTCTGGAAGAGCTCCACATCAACACCGCGTTCCTTTTCGGAGTGACCCTTCTCCTCAACACGAAGTGTGTACTCTCTGGGGTCGAAATGAGTAGTTCGGTGGACTGCCAATTCGCGGCGCTCCGAAACAGATCGAGAGCCAGCCTCACCGGGGAGGACAAAGTCCTCCAACCGAACAACACCCTCGATACCGAAACGTGGAACGAAGACCACAACACCGTTCTCGAATACACGCATCACATAGCCTTCCTCATCAATACCAGAGTCGGTGCCACCAGCTGCCATCTTCTCACCACGAGCCTTGAGCGCCTGCCCAACATAGTATTCAATACTAGCGCGGCCAGCGAACTGAGCATTGCGGTGTCGGAAGTTGATGTTTCGGCAGATGTCCTCAAGCTTGCCTCGGGTGTTCACGCCCTCAATGACAGCGTGACCATCTTCACCCTCGTAGCCTATGGCCGAGGCGAGCTGTCGGTGAACAAGCAGGTCGGCGTATCGTCGAATGGGCGACGTAAAGTGGGTATAGATAGGTGAGGCCAGACCGTAGTGGCGGAATTCAGGCTCAGCATGGGCACCGGCGCAGAAATACTCGGCAGAGGTCATGCAACGGGTGGCCAGGATACGGACGAGAGTGTTGAAGAACGGGTTCTCGGGGTCGACACAGCGATCGAGCGAGCTGGCAAGAGCGCCGGAGCTGGAAACGTCAAGCTCCATACCTCGCTTCTTTGATAATTGGTTGATCAGATCCTCGAAGTTCTGGGGTGGGGGAGTGGCGTGGCGTCGTAGCAGGGCAGTTTGCGAAAAGGAGTCGAAGACCTTGGAGGCAACGGTGATGTTGGCGAGAAGCATGAACTCTTCAACCAGACTGTTGGTGTCGAGCATGGCCTTGGTCTTGACATCCGTCAAGGGGTCGCCCACCTCATCGCTATCGGCTTCAATTCGGACTTCTGGTGATGCAAGGTTTAGAGCGCCAGCATCATAACGCTTCTGGCGGAGGATCTTGGAAAATTTCAAAAGATTACGCATGCTTTCGGTGAGCTCATCCGTCTGGGATGGGTCGTCAATGCGCAATTGGGCCCGTTCGTAACTGAAAGCCTCACGGGAGCGAATAACAGACTTTGTGAAATCCGACTTCACAATTTCTGCGTTGGGGGTTACCTCCCAAAGGACGGAGAAGGCGTAGCGCTCGACATAAGGCTTCAGAGAACAGAGATCCGTTCCAAGAAGATGAGGCAACATGTCAATACGCTTGTCGACCAGGTATACAGTGGTACCACGAACACTGGCTTCGGAGTCCATGGCATTGTTGGGCTTGACGAAGTGTGACACATCTGCGATGTGGACACCGACTTCGAAATTGCCATTTGGTAGCGGACGGGCGTGAAGGGCGTCATCAATATCCTGGCATCCTGGAGGATCGATACTGCAAATGAGGAGATCGCGGAGATCTCGGCGACCGTTCCAACCCTTATCCTCCTTAGTGGCGGGGACCTTCCAATCGTGTCCCTCAGAAGGAAGACAGTCCAGAACAGACTTAGGGAATGGCTTGTATTGCACATCGTACTCCAAGAGAAGAGCCTCTGTCTCCGCACCTTTAGTCTCTAGCTCACCCAAAGATCGGATGAAGTGACCAGTGGGGTACCGAGAGTCCCGTTCCCAAGTATCAATAGTAACAAGGATACGTTGGCCGATAAGATCACCAGCTTGTCTTGTCCGAACTCGAATCTTGGGCACCTTTTTGTCCATGGGCAACACAAAAACGGTCTGCTGACGGCGACCTGAGGCGGCCTGAGAACCAGTGGAGCCAGCATCGACGTGGCCGACATACTGACGCCAACCACGCTTGATCATACCCACAACCCTGGCGGTTGGTTGAGGTTTTCCCTCAGAGCTCTTGCCGTGTGCTTTCTTAACCTCTTCTTGCAGAGCCTTGCGCTCATTCTGAGAAACAACGGCCTCGGTCTCCTCGGAATCGGGGTTGTCGTTCCGAGTCACTGCTTCCTCATCAACAATCTTGGTGGAAGGAGACTTCCATTGATCTTGTGGTAGAACTTCAATGACAACCATGTCGCCTGAGATGGCACGGTTACTATTGTCGCGTCCTAGGATAAGAAGCGGCCTGTTGAATGCTGGGACCTTAACCGATGCTTCCAGGTAGTTGTAAGGCGATACATTGAAAGTGCCCTGGTGAAGATTTCCGGCCCGCAATCCCGTCATCATTTTTGACATGGAAAGATATTCTGGGTAGAAGAGCTGTCCAATCGGGCCCTTGGAGTCCCGAGCCTCCCGCGCTTCGCTAATCATGTCCAGCAGCTTCTCCGAGTCCTCCAGACCAGAGACATATTCTGACAGCGACAAAGCCGTCACTTTCTCTGCCTTTGCCTTCTTGATGCTACCTTTGTCATCGGTGATGACAACAATCGCAGGGACGGACTTTTCCTTTTTGCCCTTCTTCGCCGATGCGCCAAGATGCTCCTCGTACCAGCTCGCCACTGCGCGTACAGCACGATCATTCCGATCGTTGATTGACTCTTCCGGGCCTCGTCGGACATGTGTCTCAAGGCGGAATTCGTTGAAGAAGAGGTAGAACCGTTTCTCGTCGGTCTTGATGAGGGAAAGCAGACGATTGTAGAGTGGCAGCGACTGGTTGCGGAGTTCTTCGAGGACGGTTTGGAGAATAATCACATCGTAGAAAGCGCCGGTATGTTCGAAAAGATCCATGCCATTCAAAAGCGCATTTGTGTCGGGCACGAGATAATGTCCACGAGGAAATGCTTTAGTGCCGGCGGGGCGATCGGAGAGGACGAATGGCGCAACTGATTTAGGTTAGCAGTCGGTCTGGTCTGTTGATTCGGGGAAGCTCTCACTGTTTCCATTGGCATCCGAGGGAGCAATCGAGGGGCATAGTGAGCAAAGCTTTGAGGAGCAAGGAATGTCTTGCCTCAGATAGAGCTCGCGAACAATCTTTTGCACCTTTCCACTTTTAGTGGATCTCACGAAGACCTTGCTGGCGACATTAGAGGCCTGTGGATTAGAGGAGAGATCTCTCCTCAAGCTCTTCATTGTAGCGGTAGGTATGTATCTGAAAGAAGCAGCTAGCAACTTGCGAGACACAGGTTGTGAATGAGAACTGCTGGACGAGGAATCTTTGCGGGCGAGGTTATCGCACCCAGCGATAGCTGAGTAAGCGCCTATCGATGTCCTCATCGGAGGAGCAACTGAGCAAGTTCCCCCACTTACCACCTGCACATTTCTCTTATTTCTTTCGAAAAAATTGATTTGATTTGATCATAAATTAGTTTCAACATGGTTCTCGCCGTAGGTTCTCTATCTTTACTGGCTTGAAGCAGAATGTTGATCAACTACTCTTCTATATAGGCCGTGGGTCAGCTATGCGCAACAGCAAGCATAACTTCCAATTTAGCGCAGTGTCAGACATTAGTTCGCAAAGCTGCTGCTGCAGGCGCCAAGGTAATTAAAATTCTCTGCGACTCAATTTTTTCCTATTCAGCTGGTCATATCTAATGCTTTTATAGGTGCTGTTTCTTCCCGAGGCTGCAGACTATATTGCCTCATCTGCAGAGGAATCTCTCTCGCTGGCCCAGTCACCCGAACAAGGAGACTTTGTTTCCGAGCTTCAAAAGTCAGCTAGGCTATCAGGACTGCACATCAATGTTGGGATCCATGGCATTGCCTCTGAGAACAGGCTCAAGAACTCCCTCGTTTGGATTGATGATAAAGGCGACATCACCCAAAACTATCAAAAGGTTCACCTGTTTGATGTCGACATCAAAGGGGGTCCTGTTCTAAAAGAGAGCACGTAGGTTATCATGCATGTTCTTGACCTGCCAGCCCTCTACAATTCACTAAGACTAGAAACAGCAATGTTCAGCCTGGACAAAGTATTCTCCCTCCCTTTGAAACTCCCATTGGGCGTGTTGGGTTGGCAATTTGCTTTGATGTAAGTGCCAGACAATAAAACCTGTTGATTCCAAGATCAATGACCTGGTATCTAACTGGCCCTGTACGTATATAGCTACGGTTCCCGGAAATCAGCCTTGCATTGAGACGCCAAAATGCCCAGATTATCACTTACCCATCAGCATTTACGGTCCCCACTGGCAAGGCTCATTGGGAGTCTTTACTTCGAGCACGCGCCATAGAGACCCAGTCCTATGTAATTGCATCTGCCCAGGCAGGCCCTCATAATGAGAAGAGACGAAGCTATGGCCATTCCATGATCATCAGCCCGTGGGGTGAGGTCGTGGCACAGCTCGGCGACGAATACCAAGAACCGGAGATTGTGACAGCAGAAATAGATCTCGATCTGGTGGCAAAGATCAGACGAGAAATGCCTCTACTGAGACGGACTGATCTCTACCCGGAAGTCTAAAGCCAAGCGGAGAACGCTCCGCCACGGAGAAATGAAGATATAGAAACGTGTCTCGCTCAGGTCAACGGAACAATCTTGTACAATGACTCAGAGACATCTTGGCGAAGCTAGGCGAGTTTGAAATATGAGAATGATGAATATCATTGTTTTGATCCATCTTTATTCATGTGATGGAGAGAAGACTCAACGGAATATCAAGTAGTACAACAAGTAATGAAAATGGAAAGAAATGCGAAAACCCCATCTAAGAAAAGGAACGGAACATCATATCTGCCACCGCAGGTGGTACAGGTGTAAACCGGGATTGTCCTTTTCCGATCTCTTTATGTACAGTGTACAGAATAGGCCCGGAAAACGGTCCATTTAGTTCTTGGCCTTCTCGGAATCCTCCAGGATACCCTCAGCCTCCAGTCGCCGGCGGGCCTCCTCAAGAGCCCAGGTTTGTATGCTGCAATCAGAATTAGTACCAGTGACGCAAGGTTACGGGTCATATTGGCCTTCCGGGGGGGGGTGCTGAGTCATGAGAGCCCATTTGGAACAGGCCCCACGAGGAAGAGATGAGGACTTACGAGGTGTCGGGCTTGAAAACATATGCAATGCCAGCAACGAGGAAGCTGCCAATGAATCCGTAGTACCAGATACCCTCCCAGCCTTCCTTCTCGTACTTCTGACCGGGCCTGACACCGAACAGCCAGCCAGTCGGGGGGTCGTAGTGGCTGCCGTGGTCACCGCCGCGGAGAGCGCCTTGGGTCGAGAATCTTTGGAGGGTTTGCGGGCTGCGCAGCAGGCAGCGCGAGCGGAGGAGTTGCGACACAGGTCGAGCGGACATCTTGAGGACGAGGGGGTCGGGAGCTAGGGAAGATTGGAACTGGCGGAGTTGAGAGGTTTCAAGGTGGATATCAAGGCCGATGGTCGATCGCCTTGCCTATATGACGACAACAATCGCAATTGGTATGGCACTGTGGAAGCGACGAGCGGAGGGGCGGATTGATGTTGAAGCCGCAAAAGGCCGCTGGGGGAGCTGACCACTTATGCGCTAGTCAAAGTTGGGCGATTTTTCCTTGTCCGCCTTCCGATGCCTGAAACCTCGGGTGTCGAATAGTTGGTCGTTCTTGCCTGACAAACCTGGCAGCCACTCACAACGCGCTACTACCCCGTCCCACGTACTCCGACGCGTTCTTATCGGATCCCAAAACACCAACAACCTTTAGGGAGTCCCGAGGCTGTCTGTAATATCTCCGATATCTGATCACTGCCCTTTTTTGGAATACACATCACTCCCAAATTAGTACGTCTTTTGATCCAATTGCTGACCGCGAGCTCTTGTTCCATTGCTCACATTATTCACCCAGGGCCGAGGCCTCGAGAATGCATCATTATCCACTTTAAACACGACCTTGGAATTTCCTGGAGATCATCCGACCCCCAGCAAGCATGTCGACAAACAATAAATCATATCCAATCTCCTCCGGTTCACGTACAAAGTTGAATGCATTCCGCTTTCAAGACGAGGAGACTGTTTCCGACCAAACGACCTCGAAGGACGAGACGAAGCCTGTACATGGGAATAAAGAGAATCAGAGTTCATGGCTGAATGGCGTCGTGGAGCCGACTCATATGTCTCCTGAAAAAAACAACACATCCGCAGAAGCTCTTGCGACTGAACCTCGACCGGCCAAAGAATGTCCGCAGACACCAGGCAATCGGATCCCACTTGCAGACCTAATAAGCAATGCTGAAGACTCCTTCAACCCAGCGCCAGGCCCGGAAGTGACTCCTGTGGACCACGTTGTCTGGCAGCATATACCTGCTAGCTCAAACCCTGATACTTCGTCCCAAACACCGGGCGGCCGTCGAAAGAAGCGACGACACAGTTCATCTCCTGCCGGTTCCCCTTCCCACGCGAACTCGAAAAAATCAAAAGAACCCCTCGATCTTCAATCCATACAAGCTTTATTCAAGACCCCCCAACACGATCTTGCGGCGGAGCTGTGGAATAACTATATGGACAAGAATATGGCTGGTGGAGTCGAGGACCTTCCTCCGAACCGTCTTGCGAACCTTCTCTCCTCGTCTCCTCAAACCCCCATTTCGGGGAGAACGAGTCGGGATTCGTCGGGCTTGAGGCGATCCATCAGTTGTGCTGCCGAATGGCCAACATCCCGAGCGAAGAGACGGCGGTTCAATCGACAAGAGCAGGGCTCTGGTCGAGGCATATTCTCCCGCACTAGTAGCAATGTTTTGGACTCGGGTCGAAAGCAACCATCGCGGATTAACTTCCTGCTTGAGACCATTGAGAAAAGTATCCATCCGCCCCAGCCAGCCGACATGGGGCCCCCCTGGCTCCTCTCCACTACGGCAACGCGTTGATGCGCAGCGATGCCGCTCTTCGTCTCCTATAATCGATCGTAAAGGTCTGGGCAATGGTGGTGCCGAACAAATGCCTCCTGTTCCAGAGAATGATCGAAACCCCGCCAATAGTACTGATTTCGAGGGCGACTCGTCAGACTTTGGAGATGACGACCTCGATCAAGATCTTATGGACTTGGCAGATGCCTCGGCGGACCCTTTCGTCGATTCGGCCGCGGATCGGAATGAGTTTGACTCATTCGGTTCCTCAGCCTGGTCTAGCTTTGCTGCAGACAAATTACAACCGAAGCCTCCCGCGCAACCACCTATAATGAACAGTAAACCGCCAACTGTTAATAATCTTATGAATAATGAAACCAAACCTGATGATTCCGACGACTTTGATGACGACTATGGAGATTTCGATGACAACTTCGAAGAGATTCTTGCAGAATGTGATGGGAAGCAGGAACATATCGATTCGTCTAAACCCGCTACCTCCAAAGAGAATATTGTTGAGAAGGCGAATTCTTCAACTGCAGCCACGGCTGATAGCAAACGGGGCAAATCACCGAATATGCCAGCTCAAGACTTTGAAGCAGCATCGTCCGAGGACGAATTCGATGATGACATCGACTTGGATGCGATAGAACAGACCATGAAAGAAGCAGGACAGGACGGAGACCATGTTTGTTACTCTTAGTGAATCTCCCTAGTTATATACTAAGACAGTCCAACAATAGAAAATGAAGGGTCGCCAAGCTATCAAACGTTACCAGGTCGTGGAGATTGTGCAGAGCACGTATGTGACTCCGAAAGGGCGTACACAACCCGAGCAGGTCCGTTTCACTCTGTCTCCCCATCCCCGAAATGCGAGCTCAGCTGACGAGCTAGTAGGTGCTCTCTGTTGAAGACGAGAAGACAAAGGCTCGGAAGGTCATCATCCTGAGAGAGTCATGGCATGACACTCCTTGCAGCAAGGACTCATATCTTCATTTGATCGGAGACTACGACTCCTCCGGCTGCTGTGTTGTGGATAACACCAACCATATGGTTATCCTTCACCCCGATCATCTTATATCCGCCACAGTGGTGGCGGATTCGATTGATTGTCAACGTCGTGCTGTTCTCCAAGATCGCATCAAAGCTTTCGCCCAGCTGGAGAAACCGCAAGCATTCGGTGTCTTCTTCCACGAGGTCTTCCAGGAAGCACTGAAGGCTAATCAATGGGACATGGTCTCTTTGAGGTCTTTGGTTGAACGTGTCCTCCTGGGACATATCGAAGAGCTTTATGCAATCAACATGAGTGTCCAGGAAGCAGTTGAAGAAATCATGGGGAAGATTCCAACAGTTTTAGCTTGGGCAAAAACCTTCCTACATGCGAGTCCGCAGGTAAGTGATATTGAATAAACGATTGAATATTGTACTCATCACACCAATAGGCCGATTCCACTGTGGAGGATCGCAACAGTGCAAAACTCAACTTGAGCATTAACAAATTGCTTGAGGTTGAAGAACATGTATGGTCGCCCATGTATGGACTCAAGGGAAACATCGATGCCACAGTCCAAGTCGCGTGCCGTGATAAGGAGGGGACTAAGAATCTGGTGGTTCCATTGGAGTTGAAAACCGGCAAACGGGATACAAATCAAGGCCACAGAGCTCAAACAGCTCTGTACACCCTTCTTCTATCCGATCGATATGGTATGACTCCTGCTTCTGGACGAGATTCCAAAGCGTTTTTACTAATGTCGCGCAAGATATTGATGTCACTTTCGGTCTCTTGTACTACCTTGAAACTGCCAGAACGCTCAGTATTCGGGGTGTTCGGCACGAACTTGTTCAGATGCTGCAAGTTCGCAACCAACTGGCGGGGTTCATCCGTGAGAGAATGCAACTCCCTCCAATGCTCAAGAAGGCGCGCATGTGCAATAGGTGTTATGCGAAAACCCCTTGCCTTATCTACCATAAGCTCGCAGAGGGTGGTGACGGCGAAACAAGTGCCCTTGGTGACGATTTTGAGGCTGCGACACAGCATCTAGGTCAAGCAGATCGTGACTTCTTCCGCAAATGGGATGAACTCCTCACCAAAGAAGAAGGGAATTTGGTCAAATTCCGACGAGAATTGTGGACTCTGCTCAGCAATGAACGAGAGCCCCTCGGCCGTTGCTTCGGCGATGTGGTCATCGATCCGCAGTCTGCATCCGAGGAAAAGAACGGTTCAAAAATCAATCGTTATCGTTACACTTTTCACAAACGACAGAAAACCCCCAACTTCTCCTTCGCTGAATCACAGATCTCCGTTGGTGAACCAGTTGTTGTCTCGGATGAGAAGGGGCATTTTGCCCTCGCGAATGGGTACGTTGTCCACGTCAGTGCATCCCATATCACTGCTGCTGTCGATCGGAAACTACACGATGCTAGGTCAAAAACAGCTGGGTTCGATACCAAGACAAATCAGTCTTTCAAAGGCATTATGGAAATTGAGGGTGCTGGACAGTCAGCCTTGGAGAACCCCAATGAACAAGTCGTCTATCGGATCGACAAGGATGAGTTCAGCAATGGCATGGCTCTTGTTCGCAACAATCTTGTCTGCATGATGGACAAGGATTTGTACCAAGCAAGGCATCTCAGACGACTGATTGTTGAGGGTCAAGCCCCCCAGTTCAAGTCGTCGCCCACCGCATATGCCATTTCCGGTGCTGACAGTCTCAATGTCGACCAAACGCAAGCAATTGACAAGGTCATGAGCGCCAAAGACTACGCGTTGGTTCTTGGTATGCCTGGAACTGGAAAGACAACCACCATCGCTCACATCATTCGGGCTCTCGTTGCGCAGGGGAAAAGCGTTCTCCTCACTTCCTATACCCACACCGCGGTCGATAATATTCTGCTCAAAATACGCGATGATAACATTCGTATTCTTCGGATTGGTGCCGCCACCAAAATCCATCCGGATGTACAAGAATTTGCCGATTTGGCGGCAACCCCAAAGAAGACCATCGAGGAACTGAAAGATTCATACGAAAAGCCCCAGGTTGTGGCAACGACTTGCCTTGGTGTGAACCATCCCATTTTCAACCAGCGTATCTTTGACTATTGCATTGTCGACGAGGCATCGCAAATAACGCTACCGGTCTGCTTGGGTCCGATTCGCATGGCCAGGACTTTCATCCTTGTCGGTGATCACTACCAGCTTCCTCCCTTGGTGCAGAACAAGGCAGCTCAAGAAGGAGGACTGGACGTCAGTCTCTTCAAACTACTTTCTGATTCCCAGCCAGACTCTGTTGTCAATCTGGAACATCAATATCGCATGTGCGAGGATATAATGCTACTATCAAATACGCTCATCTATTCTGGTCGTCTAAAGTGTGGCACCGCGCAGGTCGCTACTCGCTCACTCGAGATACCGAACATCCATGCCCTTGAGAATTTCCACTCAGCTGGCTTCGGCTCTTCAAACGGGCAAGGAATGTGTATGGGTGCAGACCATGGGCGCTGCTGGCTCCGGGATTTAGTGGATCCTTCTGCCAAAACCCTTTTGGTGAACACTGATCCTCTTGGTACCGCAGCTCTCGAAGCTGCACAGGGACAACGGGTTGTAAATCACGCTGAGGCCGTTATATGCTCTCAACTTGTAGAGTCATTCATCGCCAGCGGGATATCAGCTCAAAACATCGGTGTCATCACATTCTACCGCAGCCAACTCGCCGTTCTCCGACAGACTCTTCGGCGATATTCGCCAGATCTTGAAATGCACACCGCAGATAAATTCCAAGGCCGTGATAAAGAGGTCGTCATTCTCAGTTGCGTCCGAAACAATCCCGAGAATCATGTCGGTGACCTTCTTCGCGATTGGCGACGTGTCAATGTTGCGTTCACACGTGCCCGCACGAAGCTTCTTGTTGTGGGTAGCAGATCAACTCTCCGTGATGGTAACGAGCTCCTTTGCAAATATGTTCGTCTCGTTGAAGGCAGGGGCTGGGTCTACAATTTGCCCCCCAGATGCTGCGGAAAATCACACCTTCCAACCAACCGCCTTAACCTCCACGCAATACCATTCCCCCGAGGTCGGCAAGAAGCATGGTTCTGGAAGGAAGAATCCCCCGAACGCCAATATAATGTCGCCGTCACGCGAGCCACTTAGCCCGTTGGGGTCTCGGCAGCCTACAGGTGTTCGCAAACCCGCAAAGAAGGGCACAAAGGTCTTCAATGGAAACACTGTTGTTGGCAACAGACCTATCCTCCAGGACTTGGTTAATGATGTTTTTGGCTAGCCTCATAATGGTCCTCGATCTTTTTTTCTTTTCTCTTTTTTAACTTGCTTAGGATTTTGAACATTGCATGGCTAGCGAACAAACAAATGTGTAGCATGCATGGAGCTTCACCAGAGTATTGAGCGTATGATTTTGTTTTCACAGGCGTTACAGGACTTCATGGAACCATCAATTGGCGTGGGATCGATATTAAACAATATGGCTATTCTTTCTACCAACTCTATCCGTCAACTTGAACCCTAAAAGATATTGAAAATAATTGTAGCTTTGGCCTCGCTATCCGCAGTATGCGACTCATAGTTACGTCGTTTCTGCTATAGTCGCGGAGACTTCAAAAATCCTTTACACCTGGACAGATGGTCCAAGTCGATAAACAGAGCGGTAAAAGTTCGATAGCATTTTAGCTGGCAGTCACGCAAACTCGTGGCCACACAATAGCTCTTCTATGAAGTTTAAAGTTATACGGGCGTCTTGGTAAATACTAGGGTGGAAGTAAAAGCAACTTCAAACAAAATTCATTTTGAGTCAAGTGTTATGAACAAATCTCCCCCCATCATACAGGCTTGTAACTTCATCATCGCTTGACTCAATACACACTCGATCCTGAATTCACAATTTCGGACAAGACTTGAGGGATAAAGATAGTATATTGAGCAATTTCAATGAAGACAGTTCAAAAATCAATATACAAAAAAAGCTCGAGGACACATCTCAGGCTTTAAACGCCCCGGTGTACACTTCCGAGCAACTTAGAAAACCCCATGCTCATAACATAAAGTAACAATGATAATGATAATTAGACAGGAAACGGAGAGAAAAGGACCAAGAGACGGACGCTCATCAATACAAGAAGGGAGGCTGCGACAAAAGATGTGAATATAAACAGCCCTATACTCTGCTGACTCTCCCATCTTCAACTCTTCCAGTTGTTTTCCTATTCGACTCCTTGGGCGCATTTAAATATTTCCGCGACCCATCAGACATGTACGCCCATCGGGCATGGTTATTGGGATTGGCGTAAAAGTTCGTGACAAATTTGTTGTCAAATTCGTAAACTTTTGGTACCGGAAGTTGGGGTTTGGACTGGGGCTGAGACTCGGCCGGGGCTTGCTTTTGTGCCCAGTTGGGATCCTGCGGGTGTTGAGGCAGGTCAAAGTGGCCATTTGTCGGAGGGTGTATCCAAGAGGTCAGCTGGGGGGGAGGATGGCATTTCTTGGGGAACATAAGGACAGGGTTGTTGCTGAAGTCTCTGCGGTGGCTGAAGTCCATGCCGTTGCTGAAACTCTTGTCGTTTCTGAAGCTCTTGTAGTTTCTGAAGCTCGTGTCGTTGCTGAAGCCCTTCTTCTTCTTCTTCTTCTTCTTCTTCTTCTTGTTGTTGTTGTTTCTGAAAGCCCTGTTTTGTTTGAAACTTTTGCTTTTGAATAACCGCGAGACGCTCTTGAAACATGGACATCTGGCCATGGATAAATGCTTCTTCCAAGTCACATGATGACTGGGGTAAGACTGGCTCCTGGAGTGTCTTGAGGAACGCATGCATGGGCATCGGTATAGGTAGAGGCATAGGTACAGAGCAATCTGGGGTTACTGGTGATGAGATCGATGGGGTCTCTGAGGCCTCTTTGGTGGTATTTGAAGGCCCCTTAGTAGTCTCCAAGGGCTCGGTAATGATGGTCTTCCAAGGCTCGATAGTGATGGTATCCGAGGGCTCGATACTATTCATGAGTTTCGAGGGGTCGATAGTGAGAGTCTCCGAAGGCTTTGTGGTAATGGTTTTCGAGGGATCGACGGTGGATCCCAAGGATCCATCCATATAACTAGTCGGAGCGAAGACACTTTCTTTGGCACCTGTGTTCAGGTTCAAGTCGTCTAGCTCCTTGTCCCAGTTAAATTCCTTGAAAAGATCGTCCATGCTCATGGGCGCACCCAACGTTTCGTCCAGACTCGTATAATGATCGTATGCGTTGATTTCGCTGGAAAGCCCGTGGACGATAGAGTCACTCATGGCGGGAAGGAGCGAGAGTATAGCGAAAATGAATGAAAGGTGGGTGAGAGTGAGAGTGGATGTGAAATTGGAAGTGAAAGTGAAAGTGAGAGTGAGAGCGAGAGCGAGAGCGAGTCTGTTAAGCAATAGACAAGCAAGTAGCTTTTGTGTTTGCTAGTATATAGATTGTAGTGAATGAAGAGAGTATGAAGAGGGGGGAAAAGAAGGAGCAAGTAGAGAATGCTGGGGGTCAGGTAAAGTGGGTGAAGGATGACGACTATATTGATGTCGGAGGCTGTCCTGATAGCGGTGCCTGTTTTGATGTCGGAGCAGTTGAAACCCTGGATACAGAGTCAACTTGAACCTAGGAATGGACTCTGCTGGGCCTCCCTTTTCTTCTACCGTTTTTATCATAATTGTAGCCCTATGCCGTATCTCCTCTGATTCTACCAGGGTTGGGCGTGGGGTTGGACGGTTGTGGTTTCCCATGGAGGAAGCGCCTGCATAGCCACTAGCACCAGGCCAATGGAATTTTGAATTAAGTTGAATTGAATGTTTGAACTCCTGGAAACAGAGTTTCATGGGCTGTGAAGGGCGGAAGCGCCCACAAACTCCCAGCAAATGGCATGTCGAGTATTCAGCGCAGAGGCTTCAGGGTCTTGAGTCTCTGTCTCTGCCTCTGCCTCTGTCGCAGCCTTCGCATCGATCCCTGTAGTTGACGACAATATATTTGGGGAAACTGCGATGCTAAACCCATCTCTTCCCTCAACGGCCTGCCTGTCCAATGCCGATGACGAAATCACAAACCAAGAGGAAGGCTCGACCGAAGTGAGCTTTGCAGTAGATGACCTGCCGCCGCCCGATTGGGGTAAAATTAGTATTTTCGCGCTCAAAGGTCGTCAGGGTATAGGAGCAAGGGTTGGGGCCTCCCATGTGGGTTAGGACCATGGTCACTCACATGAGAGTCAAGAAAAGCTGCATTGTCCAAGCCGATGAAATGAACCCCCGCCATTTTAAGCTGACCAGATCAACGGTATCGTTTTTATCAAACTCCGGTACGCTGTAGCGACTGAGATACGGATCGACTGAATCTCCGGTAGAGATACGGGGGGGATCCAAGTTGAACCATGGCAATCCATTCGGACATTGCACCGCATCTTTCTTGCATTTCTGCCTCAGGCATCTGGCTCGATACTAATTCTTGCAGAGGTGGAGTCAGGACATCTTTGAGCTTAGCTTGGGCTGGTGCTGATTCAAGAAGCTGTGGGTGAAGACCCTTAATAGGCTTAGATTCTTTGCGCATGTCAGTATGTCAGTCGTCAAATTGAAGCGCGATTGGACAAACTTACCATCATCCTGGCTCGCAGGATCCAGGTCGCAGAAGAGCCATGTCAGAGACTGGTTTAGGACATTTTTGAACGCCCAGACAATTCGCTCGAAGCCCTTTTTGCCATGCAACATTGAGGGTAGTCGAAGGTTCAGTTCAATCACTAGTGGCAAGGTTAGATCAAGGCCCCCTCGGTAGTAACGCCGTCGAAGAGAGAGGGGACTCGAGACATACAAAATCTTTCCTTTTCATGTTTCCTGCCGCCACTGCGGATGGACTTTCCGTTCAGCCCTGTGCGCTCATATATTTCTTTCCCCAATTCGATTTTGCAGATCCCTGAATAGCTCAATAAGGTCAGCCGGTAAAACCCGTGACATCTTGCGTTATTACAGACTTGGGGAAACACTAACCTTCTCGTAGGGTGAATACGATATCCGAGCCTGAACGGCCTTCAGAGATCATGATGACATTTCCTGGAAATAGTGTTGGCCTTTGAATCCAAAAGGGTTGGACGAGCTATAGTAGTACCCGGGAGTAGGTCTTTCATAGCAGAGAGAAGATACCAGATTTGATATATGTGTTGAAGAAATCACCGTCGAGTATATCAGCGGGGGACATGAATACTCGAGCATATCGAGGCTTGGTCAATTTTGCATCTAATGATGACTGAATGCTGGTATAGACTGCCTCTGGAAGAATGACCTCAACCTACGCAAGGTTGTCAGTCTCATGAACAGAGTATATGGGAGGCTTCAAGTTCAATTACCGTGTGTGTCAGAGGGTGATTGAGAATGGTGGAGAAAGGTGATTTCTTGCTCGGGATCTGCTTGGGATCCACGAACGCAGGCAGTTGAGTGACGGTGGTGAAGCATTTTTCACGTTCGGACGCGCCGTCGTCGAAATCAAACATGATGCAGAGTCCAACAGTCAGGGTCAAGAGGTGCGAGGTGATATGGGAAGTAGGGTAATGAAATTTGAAGTTCAACCAAGTTGGACTGGAGAGCTCGGGAGCTCGGGGGGGAGGTGCTTATCGATAGGCTCTAGTAGACCTTAGTACTACTAGTAGTACTAGCAGTATAATATGGGATATCTACTGAGGCCCTAGGGCCTCAGACCTGTGGCTTACATGTTGCGTTGGTCCTTTGATAGTAGTAGTAGTAGTATTTATTAGTAGCTACTTGTATGGCTCTGAGGGCTTTTTCCTCCATCGCCATTCCATTATCATCTAGTTCCATCTCGTCTTGGCCCGCTCCCGTCACTATATTCGCTTCAAGACTTCCAAGGAACTTGAACTTGAAGATGAAGTTGCCTTACTCCAAAGCTGTACTCCTAGTTATATTATTTGATATACCCTTTGAACTACCAGCACACTATATCCAATCTCATTAACCCTTCTTCGTGACACTTCCAAGTTCATGCCTGAGGCGGCAATATGCTCTCCGCCCAGTCGGTGACGATCTTCGTGGATAGACGTGGGTTAAGTCCGCGCTCCAAGATACTCATCACTCAACCCTCTGACGTTTATGTTTGTCGCCGATGCAGATATATATGGACCAGGGCACCAATTACTAATCCCACAGAAGCAGTCGCCAATTTCCATAGGAGCTGCCAGCCATGGCACCCGCTCCGCGTCGTGATCTCCTCGCAAAGGAACATTTCGCATTCGTCTTTGGCAGCGTCAAGACCCAAAATTACCAAGATCCTGCTGCAAAAGGACCTGGTTCACACACGTATGTCCTCTATCTCGCGTCGGATTGGAATCAGCCGCTCATAATACCTCATCGGGACCGACAGCATCCGTACACTAGCATGGAATCCCACCGGCCAGCTGATTGCGACTGGCTCCGCTGACCGCACCCTGCGCATTTGGAACCCTGAACGCCCTGCTCCTCGATATTCAACCGAGCTCCGTGGCCATTCCGCGGGTATAGAGAAGGTCCTATTTAACCCCGTCCGCGACGCAGAATTGGCTAGCTGCTCGACAGACGGCACAGTGCGCTTCTGGGATGTGCGCTCTAAGACATGCGTGAGCCGACTTGACGTTGGCGGCGAAGCCTTCACCTTGTCCTGGTCTGCCGATGGCAGCGCAATGGTCGTCGGAAAGAAGGTGAGTGGGCAAGCAGCAAAGCAGGCAGCCTCGGAAACCCAACAACTCTGCGGCGCAAGGCTTCAGCTAACCCGAGCTTCTCCCCAGGATGATACTTTGATACCTATATCAGTTCAATCCCCTTCATCCCCCCCACATCATCACCGACGGAAGCAATGGCACCAGTCTGAACTCTTTCTCAGCTTCCAAGCCCGGCACAAGTACATACACAGCCCTCACTCCCCACCCTCAACCCGTCCAAACCAATGCCACAACTTTCTCCCACCACATCGCGTCCCCTTCCTCTCCCGACCTACACCTCTTCGCGACAACCGGCGACGGAACCGTAAAAATAATGTCCTACCCCTCCTTCGATATCCTCCACACCCTCAACGCACACACCTCAGCCTGCATGGCCGTCTCCCTCGCCCCAACGGGCCGGTATCTCGCAATCGGCGGCAGCGACGCCTTAATCTCGCTCTGGGATACAACAGACTGGATCTGTCGCCGGACGCTATCCAGCGAAAACGGCGGCGGGATCCGGGGTGTTAGTTGGAGCTTTGATAGTCGCTTCCTTTGCGGTGCTTGTGATGAGCTTGGTTGTGGCGGGAATGGTCTGGAGATCTTCCATGCTGAGACGGGTGAAAGCGTTTACACTATACCCTTGACCGGTATGAATGCCGGGGTTCCTGCTGTTGCCTGGCATCCTTCTCGCTACTGGTTGGCCTACTCAACTACCAATGACGGCCCTGGTAGTGGTGGCCCTGGTGGCTTGAAGATTGTCGGTGCTGGTGGTGGTAGCCTCTGAAGGAGACATACATACATAGTCCTGCGTTGACTTTACCGGTGATACCAGTATCTAACTGGCGATGGTTCACTGGTATTTCTGCCTTTTTCGCTGCCTATGACTGAATCTTCGAGATGAAGAAGGAACCATGTTGAACCAAAGTTCCGGGAAATATCTGCTGATCAAAAACAATGTGGAACCAATAATGGAAGCTTTATACGATATATACAGTAGAATACTACGATTATTACTACCACCTTTCACAGAGTGCGATTAAATAGGTGCCCATAGTATAGCACTAACGTGATGCTAGGCCTCCAGGCCGCAATTATTGCATACGGCCAGCGAGATACTAGTAATACAACTTGAAAATTACAGTATCTGATCAAGATTACGAACGACATCTAGCTTTGAGTCATAATGTGAAAGTTATATCTTGCGTATTTCTTCATCTCCATTATCCTAGTGGATATCAACTTGAAAGTGGCTATCTCTCGGAAGTGATGACCATCGTGATCAACCAAATTAGAGAGTGGAGAATAATTACATTAAAGGATATCGTCATCATCAGGTCGTTCAGCCCACAATGATAGCGAATCATCAAGCGTGCTTGTATAGCGCGAGGCTTCGCTTTGTTTTAAGCTTGTAACCTCGGGGAGAGGGGAGAGAGGATGCGAAGGTTCCTCGTGGGAACGGAGAGCAGCGGTATAAGGTTCCCATATGCTTTCCCTGGGGATTTTGTGTTTGGTGTGATCCTGCCGCATCGAATGGGCGGTATGGTATTCAACCAAATTGTCATGATCATGACGATGCCGGGCAGGTGATTACCCATCGACTATGTGTTATGTTACAAACGAAGGTTCCAGAGCCACAATGGATTATGGTCCTTCAGGCTGTAGGATTCTTTCATTTTGCATCATGATGGACGCCAGTTCTCCCACCCGGGACCACTGCCGTTATTTTCCAAGATCTGAGCCCACTGGGCCTCGCTCAAAGCGTCAACGTTGAGACTGCTCAAGTCTACATTGCTCAGACTGGGATTCGTGGCCGACATATCCCAACCCGGGGTTTCGGGATAGGTCCTCCCGGAGGAGGTATCTCCAAGAGAGGTGTTACTTCTGCTGGAGTACATGTGTCCGGCAAATGAACTGAGATCCGGGATCGCTGGAGACTCGGTACTGACAGGAGAGATGTGAACGGAGTGGACATTGTCGAAGGCAGAAGATTGACTCTGTTGGGTGGAGGCGGAACTCTGCTGTTTCTTTCCGGGGATGGGTTGTCGATTCCGGACATCGAATAGGATGTGTTCGAGGATGAGTTTAAAGTTGAAGGGGTGGGATGATCGGATGGTGGATTCCTGTCACCAAGCCCGCCGAAATCTGGAGAAAAGTCCATATCCATGTCCACAATGCCTCCTTGGCCGATGGCATCAGATTTGATAGCCGAGCCTCGCGCAAGAGGATTAAAGTGTTGTGCATTGCTACCAGCACTTCCAAGATCAGAATCAACGGTCCCCTTGTCTCTATAACGGCTGGGCAATGTGGTAGTTCTGTGTGCCGGGCCGGTTTGGTTTGTGCTATCAGGTTTTGATTGGTCCGGGTTTCCAGGGCGGGTTGGGTCTCTAACATCGTAGATAGAGAGACATTCTACCTGACTCGGGCAATATGATTGCTAGATGGGAGAATCATAATGTTAGGCTGAAGATATAAAAGAGATAACGAGGAAATGACTGAACTCACAATGACTGCGGCGGTGTGTGCAAAAGTGTACTTTGCATTTTCCATGGCTTTGATTCCAGTGCCTTCAAGGTCAACGTCCAGTTGAACAAGGAATGACTCGGTCAATGGATTCTTGTTTTTCATCGCGTTGAGTGCGGAAATCACGAATTGCAGTGAAGAGTAAACAGTTGAATCATCCGGCCGGGATTTTAGATACTGTACAAAGACCCTGGCTGATATATAGAGACAAAATGACATGAATGGGTTCAGCTGAAATCAGTTAGCTCGAAGTTCTGGGAACTTCCCAAATCAAATAACGATGACGGCCCAAACTTACAATCGTCAAGTCAACATGGCTGACCATCTTCATGATGCTGGATATCTGGTTTGCTGCAACGAGACATCTGCGTTTACTCTCAGTCACAATTTGGTTCGACATTTTGTTCTTCTCGGCCTTGAATATTGCTGCTTGGTGAAGACAAATGGTTGATGTGTGAATGTTCATATTGGCGAAAATGACATTTACATCGTCCATGCCACCCGGAAGACGAAGGTGGTCAGGCAATGAAAGTGCGATGTGGAGAAGAATATTATCATGGCTTCTGTGCCGCTTCCAGAATTCCCCATTGAGGTCATGGTCGTTGTCTTGGGGCTGCGGTCGGTGAATATGGTTCAGGTTGCGACCAAAAAGATTGGCCAGCACACATACGCAAGCAAACGGTGCTAAAGTGGTGACACCCTCGCCAGCGATGATATCAGATAGACTGAGCGTTCGCTGTGGCTTGCTCTTCAAAAATGCCTCTTCAGAGGCGGGAAGGTTGGTCATGATCTAGCTCCAGTTAGCAACTGCGGTCCAGTATTAATAGAGACAGCCTTCAGGTGATAACTCACATCATTCTCATCAATAACCATGGGCCAGCCAGTACCAATACTGGCATACCTATCTGTACAGAAAGCCATCCAGAATGTGCGTCGGCGCTCCTCGCGCTCAGTCCAGTCTTTTGGAGGAAACATGGATTGCTTCACATCAAGGCCAGTACCATCCAGTCGGTTCAGACCCATCATAAGCGCCAATCTGGCTGCCTTTCCGACGCTTAACCATGCTCGTGGGAAGTAGATCATGCGGAATTCGTATGAGCCGATGAGGATCCAGGTCTGACAATGCGAAAGGGTGATAATGTTTTCTCCAAACCCTTTCATTTCATCCATTTCAGCATATTTGCGGGCGCGGTGGTAAAAATGATTGTGCAATCCGTAGTATTTGTCACTGATCGATGCTGCGTGACACCAGATCATATATCGAAGGCAGATGGGCGGGCGCATATGAGGAGCAAGATTCAGATTGGTGAAGTATCGAGGTCGATGAAGGAGGGGCAGCATAGGCTGGATCTTTTCGAAATATATACTCTCTCTTGAATTTACAATCTTTTAGCATTATGTCAAACAGTTATAAGGTGTAGAGCCCACTTACAGTTCATCAATGACATCCTGCATCGGAAGAGGCTCCTCTAACCCCAGACCAATCATATCCCACTGGGGGTCGCTAGGAAAGAGCATTGGGTTCGGTTGAGATGCGTTAGCTTCATTTGTAGAGGAGGGTATTGAGTTTCCCAGGTCAGCGCCTAGGCCTGAGATTTCCGGTAGGACGAGGATGTTGTCGTCTGGGAGGGGGGGCCGTGAATGCATTCTCTTGCCGCTGAGGGGGCGAGGTTCTTGGAACGGGGTCACCATCTTGGCCTTTGAGTAGCGTCTCAACCTGGGCTAATAAATTGACAATCATTAGAACAATATTCCCCCCGATTTTGCGGCGACGTCGGCTGCGACTGGTTCATGGGCAGGTCATACCTAATCGCGCTTCCAGCTGCTTCACGTACCCCCGCTTCGGGCCACTCTTCTTGCGTACTTCATCGTAGGAACATTCATGGCCCAAGCGAGAGCAAGTTCCACAGCTGGGCCGTTTGCCATCACATCGAAGTTTCCTGCGCCTGCAGACGACACAGGCTATTCGCTTCGGGCGCGGTACATAGTTGCTGTCTCCCGGCGCACCATTCTCAGCGGAGAAACCGTTGTCTGCGATTGCATAATCCGCGTTCGATAGGTTGGATTCGGTTGGGTATTGCGACGAGGAGCCTTGCGAAAAGGCGGAGGGAGGAAGATTGTCCATGGCGGGCGCGATCGCCAACAGGCAGATGATGATCGGATTTCAAAGCGATGACGAAAGTGACAGCCCACCGCTTATCAGGGTGAATGACTTGCAGGGGCTTCTTCGGAATGAGGTAAGGAGGGCAGACCTTCAGTCACATTCGCGATCTGTTCATAATTTGAAGGGGGTAAGGTTGGTGTTCGGTGGGAGGTATAAGCAAGAACAAAAAGTTCGGAGAGCCCGCGATGAGAAGTTGCCCTTCGTATCAGACCGAGCACGCGCTGTCCAATCCCGAATCCCGACCTTCAGGACGAAGAGTTTACAGTATTACCATAAGGTTTAGGTCTTGCTACAACTTATCTATCTTTGCTTGAGCTCTACCTCCTTTTTTTTTCTTTAATTTTTAAAATAATATAATTTTTTAAGTTCAAGTTTGGTTGTTTCGACGAGCTTCGAAAAGAGACTATGGAAAAACGGACAAGGAAACTGGAGGTGGGCTCCGAGTCAAAGAGATCGGCGTCTACGTACGACCAGCGCTGCCTGGAGAGGTCGGGGCGGGTCCCGCAGAGCAAAGGGTCGACCCGCAGATCGCACGACAAGTTGACAAGTTTCAACTTCAGCCACTCGTATCTACATGGATCAAGTAGGTTTCCGAATACGAACCATGTGAGAATACGGGGCACTTTACGGAGTATTTATGACTACATTTACACATGCCAAGATTGAACAAAGATCGATCTATTTGCTTCCATTTGATGGGCGTGGCCTTGGACCATCATACTATACAGTGCCCCTTCTGCCTGGAATCCAACCAATGATAGAATAAAACAATATTTTCCAAAACGTGTAAAGAGACATGGAGGCAAGATATCGTACAGAACCCCCTGAAATGACGGGGTTGAGGTATAGAAGAGAGAAAAGCATTGATTGCAAGGCAAAAGTGCAATACTCAACTGGCAACCGGAGAGACAAAAGATTCAGCCTAGTTGTATCCACGGCGGCGTTGACCCTGGTTGCGGGGTCTGGGGTGCACCACGGCCTTGTTGATCTTCCACTTGGGACGGGTCTTGTAACCAGACTTGGTCTAGAAAGAGGAAAGAAAAGTTAGTGTTGCAACGAGAGAGGGAGTTCACCACGCGAGAAGGACATACCGGAATACC